GCAGTGCTGGCTTCAGGTTTTAACATTGAAGATTTCACCTAAAAACCTACATCCCAGCTTCTTTTGAAAAACCGTTAACATCTGGCACCGGCCTGCACCCACAGTGCCAAGAGGTCCCCAGAGATGAGGCCCCTGCTTCCTGTTGCCTGCTTGGTCCCTGTACAGCTCCAAGCCAGCAGGGGAGACTGAACCGCCTCCAGAGGCCCCCTCCCCTCGGGCAGCGCCCTCCCCTCCAGCAGCCCCCTCCCTGGGGGAGGCCTGGGGCTCCGAGCCCTGGCCACCGGCCACCAGCTGTGGGAACCACACAAAACCACGCGTAGAAGGCAGGCAGTGTCCCTTCTGAGGGACACCTCTGAGGGGGGCTGCCCAGAGGAACCGCCAGGAGCCCTACCGCGCGCACACCCCGCATCAGTCAGCCCCACAGGGAGGCGTGCACGTGCTGAAGACAGCACCAGGGAGAGGGGCCGTGCCTGAGGCCCCGCCGACCCTCACTGCCGGCCCACGAGGAGCCCACGTGGAGTGCGCTGAGGCCCCGCCCGCAGGGGGTCAGCTTTAACAGCGGGCTCTGTGACTGGGCTCAGGAAGGTGGCTTCCCTGTGCTGCTGTGGGCCCCCGCAGACAGGCTCTCAGGGAGATTGTCTCACTGGGGATGAGCCGCGAACAGGTCACGTCATGGCCTCCATCTCTGCCGCTCCGGCACTCGGGGCAGTGGGTCCGGAGAGCCCAGCCCAGGGGCTCTCGTGGCTGTGGAGCACGGCTGTCACCCAGCTGGACCGCCTAATGTCCTTTCTCAGCAGGCTGAACCCCTGCTTGCGGGTGGTGAGAGGGGCGGGTCAGGGCAGCAGGGAGGCACCCCCCGGCCCACCATTCCAAACACGAGAGGTCCATGTGGGCTGCCCACAGGAGATCTGGTGGGCACAGATGCTCTGGGTCTCCCCCATCGTCTGCATGGGGACCAGGAGTGGGTCCAGAAGCCAGGCCACAGCAGGGATCCCCACTGGAGCCCCCCACCAGCTAACGGGGGCAGCGGGGTGGGCAGGAGGGGAAGGAGCAAGTGCCCACGCCTGAGGTGCCTTCCCGACAGGGGGCCGTCCGTGGAGAGTAGGCTGCAGGGAAGGCACCCGCAGCCACGTGGCCGGACGGGCATCGTGAGCAGCACCAGGGTGGCTGCCTGGCCATGGCCGCCAGGGAGCCACAGCCGTCACAGGCCGCGTGTGGCGGGGGGAGTGAATGCAGCCATTTAATCCGGAGCTGAGAGCAAGAGAGCACCAGTAAGGCGCACTTGGAGTTCACAGCCTAAGGGACGGTGCTCGGCCAGGTCATCTCGATGCACACGCCCCGTGAGAGCCGCTCTGCCCGCCGCCGCCTGGAGCCTGGCCTGGGGCTGGCCACACACCCAGCTCTCAGTGGCCACAGTCCCTGGGGACGTCCCACAGGTCCGATGAGGGGTGGGTTATGATGCTGCCACCAGCTCCGCCTGCCTGGGCTTAGCCTTGACGGGGACTTTTTCTGTGGAGGATACAGACATGTCACACAAACCACAAAACCCACTGTTGGTTCCAGCTCACGGCAGCCCCGCACGTGAGGGCAGAGCTGAGCTCCACGGGGCTCTCGTGGTGCTAAGCCTGACAGGCAGACCGCCAGACCTCTTCTCCTGCAGAGCCGCGCAGGGGGCTCCAACTGCCTGGCTCACAGCTGAGTACAAACGGTCTGCCGTGCACAGGAGACCCCAAGGCAAAGAAGGGCAGGCCAGAGAGGAGCTGGGGCCCCGTCATGGGTGAGGCGCCATGGGCACAGGGTGCCCAGTGCACACAGAGGTGAGCCCCACAAGGAAGCCGACGGCTGAGGGAGCGGGACACGTGGTGCAGGCCCTCGACCACGGTGACAGCGGCCAGGACCCGGAGACACGCAGCACAGGCCCTCGACCACCGCGGCAGCCCCTGCCACAGGACCCAGAGAGGAAGAGGAAGAGCCCAGAGTAAGAAAGGAACAGAAAGAAACATAGATGATTATAAAAGGGAAGTCCGGCTCCCAGGGAACGTTCTAGAAACAGCGTTACGTGACACCACAAGGGACGGTCATCCCGGGCTGTGACATTTAAAGACGATGAAACACCCTGGTGGAGACCCTGGGAGAGGGCGTGCAGACAAACAGACCCAAACCCGGCTCGAACTTGTAGATCTGCCTCTTCAGGCGCATCCACCTCCGACAGGCCCCCAGACCCAGGGGCCGAGGCCCAGCTCCAAAGGCAAGGTGCCACGCTTCGCGCGAGCCGCCTGCTCCCAGGCCGGGAAGGTGGGGCCAGCCTTCCCCACACGGCCAGGGCAGCCCACTTTGCTGGCTGCTCCCTAGGAGTTCCCAGACCTCAGAAGACAAAGTGAGGACAGTACCTGGGATCCTGTCGGGAAGGGGCTCCGCGGGGACCTCCGGAAGCTCTACCTGTTCCTGCGGGAAGCAGAGGGGGAGGCTGGGATGCGAGACCCTGGAGGCTGTCAGCAAGCAGCCCACTTTTCTAGCTAAAGGGCGGGGTCCTGTTTCACGAGCTGATCTCAACACATCAACAGGCCCCAGGAGATGCTGGCCACACGCAGGCCTGGGGGCCAGCCAGCAGCCCCCCTGGGGTCGCCCGAGCCAGGCAGCCCCTCTAGGGTTGGGTCTGCGTGGGAGAGAGGGCCGCCACGGCGAGCCAGCCACCCCAGCAAGTGCCCGGACTGCCCCAGTCACCACATGATGCCTGTCCCTCCCAGCCGGCCTTCCTGCAGCTTGTGAGGCCCCCAGCCTGCTGGGGGAGCCCTCGGTGGGCAGGTGGCACGGGGCAGCAAAGTGCACAGTCAGGGTTGCCCACAGGGCTGGAACTGGGCAAACTGAGGCAGTGGCCCCAAAAGACTGAGGATCCCTATGCCAGGTGCACAGGCAGACTGCAGAGCATGGGTTTGAGTGCGGGGAGGGGACACGGGACGCCAGGTGCACACGCAGACCACAGAGCTTGGGTGTGGGCGTGGGGATGGGACGGGACACGGGATGCCATGTGCACACGCAGACCGCAGAGCATGGGTGTGAGTGCGGGGACGGGACACGGGACGCCAGGTGCACACGCAGCCTGCAGAGCCTGCACAGGGATGGGATGCAGTGGCAGGCCCCAGATACACAGGCCCCCGTGCGACCACCCAGATGAAAAAAGGATCCACTGGGTTAAGGAACCACGTTACTGTCGGGGAAAGGGACTGAGGGCCAGGAGGTACTCCTGGCTATGCCGTGCCAGTGCCTGCAGCAGACTGTCTGCCGGGCACCCTGAAAACCGCTCCTGCCAGCCTGGTCCCCACTGTCAGTGGGCAGACTTGGGAGGGTGGGCCTCAGGCTGACACCAACGCTGGTCGCGAAACACACGAACCACGGCCATGTGGGCAGTGAGGCCCAACACAGCGGGCACCCAGGGCCCTCGAGTCCCGGCCTCTGGAGGCCCTCCTTACCTGAGTGATGGCATCCAGCTCCTCTAAGATGGCGTCTTCGTCCTCTTGGGTGAGGCTTCCTGCCAACAGCTCATCTATTTGCTGCAAAAGATGGTGTCACAGTGAAGAACAGAGGCTGAGGGCCGGGGAGGAGGGTTGAGGGCCGGGGAGAAGGCCAGCCCTCCCAAGGAGCAGAGACAGGCTGGCTCAGGGCTGTCCCTCCCTTGAGTGAGCGCAGCTGCCAAAACCGTGTGGCAGGGCTGGCCCCAGGTGATGGCAGTGGGCACTGGCTGGCAGAAGGCGTCCCCGCCCCTCGCCCACAACCTGGCAATACGTACCCGCTGGTACTCCACGGCCTCCTGGGTCTCGTCCAGGATCCTCTCCACCTCCTCTATGGACATCACCTGGACCATTGGGACAGAGGGTGGACACTGGTCAGCCAGGCAGGCAACAGCCCCCTAGGCCCCAGGCCTCTCGGCCAGACCACAGCCCCACGCCTGGCCCCTCTGCCCCACCCCAGACTCAGACCCCATCCAGCCTCAGGCCCCGCCCCTCTGCCCCACCCAGCCTCTCAGCGTCACTTCCTCCTTCAGATCCTGCCCTACCCCTCAGCCCTCTTAAGTAACCTGGCCAAGAGACACATTGCCACACCCTGGTCACTCCTCTCCAAGGGGACAGGAGCCGTCAGCCCAGTCTTTGCGGAAGCCTCAACCACACCCTCTGACCTGGGCTGCCCTCTCACACTTCCTGGTGCCCAGATGACCCCAGCAGGGAGGGTAAGGGGACGTGACAACCACAGAGTGGGAGGCGGAACATTTCTCTTAGATGACACGGTCACAGCCTCACCTGCTCCTGGCTCACACCCACCTACTGCTTTCAGACCCAGCCCCTGCTGGGGGCGCCCCCACCCCGTCCGCTCGGGCCAGCCTTGCCCTTTATGTGTCACTTCAGCAGTGTGGGTCCTGTTCCCATCTCTGCTGGCCTGCCCGCTCGCAGCCACTGCGTCCCTGAGGGCACGTGCCCGGCTGGACTGGCAGCCTCTCTGCAGCAGTTGGCTTCCTGCTGCCCAGCCGCCCAGCCTCATGCTCTGGGCTGACACAGCACCCCTGGCCGAGGGCCCTCCGTGTCCCTGCCCGGCCACCCAGCCTCACGCTCTGGGCTGACACAGCACCCCTGGCCGAGGGCCCTCCATGTCCCTGCCCAGCCGCCCAGCCTCACGCTCTGGGCTGACACAGCACCCCTGGCCGAGGGCCCTCCGTGTCCCCGCCCGCCACCAGACCCACCTGGTGCATCTTGCGCAGACATTCATTTCCAAACTGCAGCCCTTCCATCACCTTCATCTCGATCTGGGTGAACTCGATGCTCCGAACCTGCAGAGGAACCAGAGCCCGCATGGGGAGACGCCTGCCCTTGCCCCGCGGGGACGATGGGGCTGGGGGTGGCTCTTGTCAATGGGGCGCTCCGGCGTTTGGGGCAGGCCTCTCTCTGGGCCCCTCCTCCCCTCCGACCTCACCACTACTAGGGACTGGCGGGAAGGAGAAGGGGCCCGAGGAGACTCCAGGCAAGGCCCCAGCAGGGCCTCGAGCCGGCCCCTAGCCCCTGCAAGAGTCCCCACTGCCGACCCTCGTCCACTGCAGTCCCGGCCGCTGCTTCCACAGGCTTAGCGCCTCTGAGATCTGACGTCAGGAGCTTCCCAGGCCACCCGACAGCTGGAGTCCCGGCCACGGGAGCCCTGCCCCCGGAGCTCCGCCCCGCCGCAGCCCCCCATGGCCTCTGGAGCCCCGCCGCCGAGCCCCACCCGCCCGCTGCAGCCCCGGCAGCCGCCTACCATCGTCTCTAAGCTGGTGATCTGGTTCTCGGTCTTGTCTAGGAGCTGCTCCCGGTACCGCTTCTTCTTGAGCAGCAGCTTGGCCCGCCTGCAGGGGAGACGCAGCGGTCGGCCTCCTGCCCTCAATGCCCTCCACGCCCTTCGGCCCCCACCCCTGCCCCACCCGCCCCGCTTACTCCTTCTTGCCATCCCGCAGGAGCTGCCCGGCGATGGCCCGCTCGCGCTCCAGCTGCTGAGTGACCCTCTTCTGGTACTGCCTCAGCTTGTCCCGCTGCTGCTTCAGTTGCTGGGGGAGATCGAGGGGGGACGGGGGAAGGCTTTAGGTGGTGCCGACCCAGGCTGCCAACACCCGGCCGGCCTGTGGCGGCGAAGGGGTCACCCGTGGGCCCCCACAGCTCAGACTGGCTCTACCACGGCCACCGGAGCGCACCCCTAAGACGGTGGTTCTCTCGACAGCAAGTCTGCCCCCCAGGGGAGCACCAGCAACGGCTGGAGACTGTTGGTCGTCACGGTGGAGGGGGGGTGTGTGCTGCTGGCATCTGGTGGGTGGAGGCCAGGGATGCTGCTCCACGGCCCCCACCCAAGAATCATCCAGCCCCAAACGTCCGTGGTGCTGAGGGGGAGAAGCCTGCCCTGAAATCAACCGCAGCATCACAGCAAGACACACGAGGGCCGCAGCCGCGCCGCCGTCACGCCACCCAAACGCCACCCAAACGCCACCTGTGCGGGGCTGTGCGTGATGGGGCGCAGTCAGGGGGGCCGTGCGTGGTGGGGTAGTCTGGGGGGCCGTGAGTGGTGGGGTGCAGTCGTGGGGCCGTGTGTGGTGGGGTGCAGTCGTGGGGCTGTGTGTGGTGGGGTGCAGCCGGGGTGTGTCTCAGTACCGTCAAGGTTCAGAACTCTCTGTGACAGAGTCAGAACAAGCCCACCCACGTGCCACCACCCCCGACGACCACATCAGGACTCGAGGCTCCTCTCCAGTCTTTCTTCAACGATGCTGCCCCTCAGCCTCCAGCTCAGTCCACCCCTCCCTTCCTGGGTGCTGCCACAGGCTGCCCCGGCCCCTGTCCACGCAGGTGCCACAGAGTGAGGAGGTGCTGAGAGAGGTGCTGGAGGGGGCAGGGTGGCCAGACAAGAGGCTCACAGAGGGTTACCCAACAGTGCGCTGGGTCCGCGGGCTTCCTAGCTTACGTCATCCCGGCAGTACATCCTTCTATCAGGGCCGAGCGTGCAGTTCCTGAGCACGTGAAGCTCCGAGGAGCAGCTCTAAGGCAGGACGAGCACGGGCCTGCCTTCCCTAGGAAGGCAACAAAGCAAATTTCTGGCAAGTGGAGAGGCCTACAGGAAGGGAGCCCCTGCTTCAAGAAAGAAAGAGCGGCCCGGGGCAGAACTGCTTCCCCTTCAGTTGAGGGGCTGACAGTCGAAACAGGGTGGTGGCTGGAGCCCGTGGGACAGGGCTGGGCTGGCCTCCTGTCCTGAGGGACACTGACTGCTGCCCCTTCCCGAGAAGTGTCCACTTTCTCTAGTGGCCACGTGCCCCCTTTTCTTCCTCACTTGGGGTCTTCAGCTAAGAACCTGTTTCAGCAGGTAAAGAACCATCTTTGATCTGTGTTCGGCTCTCTTTTAGTACGAAAAGAAAAAAAACGTTTTTGTAGACAACGTTTTGCAGAAAGGCTGGAAAGGAAAGCGTCACCCGCTCACGTTCGGGCACCTCCTTCCCGACACACTCCGCCTTGCGGAAACGGACAATTCTGAACACACCCTCTCACTTGCTGTACCATGTTTCCTTCCCAAGGAACTGACTTTCATATGGGATCTTTCTGGAAGAGGTACTTCAGTCTACAAGGAGGGACATCATCAGACACCGTCCGGGTCCAATTTTACCAGGAACAGTGAACCATACTGTGCTATCAGTCTGCAGCGGTCCAGACAAGCGCCCCTGGCCTCCCGACACTTTGCACGCTTGGGTCAAGGTGCTCTGTGGCCCTAACGGGACTCTCAAGCTAAGAGCTGGGACCCAGGCGGGACGGCGAGCCCATCCTGACTCCCAGTCAGACGCTGCGGTTGTTTCGACAAATGACAGACTCAGTGTCTTCAGAGTCCTGGCAGCAGGAGGATGGGGGGTGCCACTGCCAGCTGCCCCATCCACGCAGCCTCCCACCGGGCAAGCAACAGAAGCCCGGGTCAGACTCAGGGCTAAAGGCGGGGGGTGGGGGTGGTAATTAATGGCACTCACAAAGTCTGGAGAAAAAGATTCCACAAAAGACACGGGGGCTAAGTGCGGGAAGCCGGGGTCTGCGACCTGTTCTGGTGTCCAAGTTCAGGACATCACAACTACGAGTGTGGACTCCTGTCAACGCGTGAAGTACGACTACGAAATAACGAGGCTGTTTCCACCAGGTTCCCGCAATCAGAGTCCCAAGTTAATAACCACGCTGTGTTTGCTTAAAGTTAACAAGCGATCTGAATTCTGCAGAAACAATAGGTTCCGACAAAGAAGAGCAGTGATTAAACGCTTGGCTGCTAAGGAAAGGTTGGTAGTTTGAACCCACCAGGGGCTCGGCAGGAGAAAGATGTGGCGGTCTGCTTCCGTAAAGATTACAGCCTTGGAAACTCTATGGGGCAGCTCTACTCTGTCACATGGGGTCGCTACGAAGCGGAATCAATTCGCTGTCACCTAACAACAGCAGGTTCGGACAAGCACTGCGAGAAGCTGACCACCCCAGGTGCGTGGGGGTTCTAAGGCTTCAAACCAGGATCTGGGGTCGAACATCAGCGGAGCCACTCCCCGGCAGGGACTGGGGAATCGGAAAGCGAAAGGGACCTGTCCCTACAGCCGAGGGCGGCTGGGAACCCAACCCAGGAGATGCTGGGACCCACGGCGAGGGCAGTAGGGCACCCAGCCCAGGAGCCGCTGGGACCCACGGCGAGGGCAGTGGCGCGGCGGGGCAGGCCGCCGGGAGGCTCGGCGGGCTGCAGGGCTGAGAGCCCCGCGGCGGAGAGGGACGAGGAGGGGCGCGGGCCGGGTCGGGTCGGGACCCGGGCTCGGGGCAGCCGGCCGGCGCCGCTGTGTGACCTTGAGCGCCACGCGCCACCTCGCAGCGCCTCAGTTTCCCCGCCGGCAGGTGCGGGCGGTAGCCGAGGCGGCCCCGAGGCTCCCCAGGCCCAACGGCCGGGGTCCGCCGAGCCAGCCGCCGCCGCCCGCCCCGCCCCGCCCCGGGCCGGCCTCAGTTTCCCGGAAGGGGTGCCCGACCCCCCGCAACCAGCGCGGCGGGCGGGGTCGCAGGTCCGCCCCGGGCCGCGCGCTCACCAGGATGGCCCTGTCCTGCTCCGTGACCCGGCTCTGCTTCTTGCGGCCGAACAGGTTGCCCATGGCGACGCCCGGCCCCGCCGCCCCTGCCCGGCCGAGTCCGAACCGCCGCCGCGGCAACACTGCAGCCACCGTACTCCGGACCTCGCCGCTACGGCGGCCGCGCGGGGCCAGGCGCCGCAGAACGCGCAGCCGGGCGAGGGCCTCCGCGGGCCGGAAGGGGTGGGGCAGGGCTCAGGAACTGTGAGACTCAGGTTCAAATCCACCCTTCGCCAGAGGTGGCGCCAGTTGATGGACAAAGTGGCCACCTTGGACTCTCACAGAAAAGTGCCACGAATAAATTGATGTTGGGACCTGCGATGTTCTAAATAATGTATTTTATGTGCATTTCCAGGATGACATTTCTAAACTGCTGCTTAGATGGAGTCCTTGCAGGTTAACACGGTGCGGGCTGGCTCTGACCACGTGCTGCTACCTTTCTCGTTGTTGTTAGGTGCAGTCCAGTGGCTTCGACTCATAGCGACCCTGTGTTCACCACAAACGCTGCCTGGTCCTGTGACATCCTCACAATCGTTGCTATGCTTGAGCCCATTGTTGCAGCCGCTGTGTCAATCCATCTCGTTGAGGGTCTTCCGCTTTTTCGCGGACACTCTACCAAGCATGATGTCCTTCTCCAGGGACCGGTCCCTCCTGGTAACATGTCCAGAGTATGTGAGACAAAGTCTCACTATCCTTGCTTCTAAGGAGCATTCTGGCTGTACTTCTTCCAAAATAGATTTGTTCATTCTTCTGGCAGTCCGTGGTATCGTCAATATTCTTCGCCAACACTATAATTCAAAGGCATTGATTCTTTTTCCGTCTTCCTTATTCACTGTCCAGCTTTTGCATGCATATGAGGCGACAGAAAATATCATGGCTTAGGTCAAGTGCACCTTAGTCCTCAAAGTGACATCTTTGCTTTTCAACACTTTACAGAGGTCTGTTGCAGACTTGCCCAATGCAAAGCATCATTTGATTTCTTGACTGCTGCTTCCATGGGCGTCGATGTGGCATACAACCTTTGGACTTAAACGTGTGTGCTGAAATGCTTCCCCGGCAGCAGCTATCTATCCAGCCGTTCAGGACAGATAACTTCTTTCTTCCACGTTCCATTCTGAGCTCTCTGCCTGTCGTCCAGCGCCACGAGGAGCTGAAGACTGCCAGTCTGGGTTTTGGTTCCCTGGAACTGTCATCGCCTCCCTCGCAGAAGCCTCTGCCACGAACTGGATGAGAGAGAGACTGACTCTCCTCTGAGGAGCTTCATGTGGGATCTCTGTCCATCAGATCTGGATGTTTTAAAGTTATACATGCCAATTTAAGCTCTCATAGATTGTCCATCTTTCTCAGTTCTAGGGACACTTGGCCAATCGGCCAATGCCAAAGACTACGCAGAACTACCTGTTCTCATTACTGTTCCCAGTCTGCTGCCTTGCTCATCAACCATCCCCACCTTCTCTGGTGGGTGCACACTGCCCCTTGGCCTTAGCCACTCCAGGGTCCCATGAGAAATCAAGGGGGCCAATTCTGGTGGCAGCACCTCCCACCGTCATCCTTGGCCACAGACCTTAGAGAGCTTTTCAAGAATCTGAGTCTGGCCTCACTGGTGAGTTTCTCAGGACCCTTGTAAGGGGGTTTCCTTTGGGATGCAATGCAGGGGTCAGGACGCGAGATGTGCCTGATAAATTCACATCAGTGTTTCTATCTCCCTAAGCCTTTGAGTTCTCTTTGTCATACCAAGGAATTTCCGGCATCTTGACTAAAAAAACCACACCCACTGCCTTCAAGTCAGCTCTGACTCACAGTGACCCTATAGGACAGAATAGAACTGCCCCATAGGGTTTCCAAGGCTGTAAATCTTGGAAACATCTCTCTCCTGCAGAGCGGCTGGGGGGTTCAAATCGTTGACCTTTTGGTAAGCAGCCGAGCGCTTTAGCCACTGTGCCACCAGGGCTCCTGTATCTTGGCTCGACCACGGTTATGCCCAAGTTTCCATCAAGGAACCAAGCAAGCCATCAGGGCTCCTTACAGCTGCTCAAGCAAACAGTTGGCTCCTGAATCTCTGGTGAGATTAATTCAGCTCATCCAAGGCTGGGATCCATCTTCACTTGGGTTGTTGCTGTGGAGTCAATTCCAACTCATGGTGCCCCCATGTGTGCAGAGTAGAACCGTCCCATAGGGTTTTCAATGGCTGTGACCTTTTGGAAGCAAATCACCAGGCCTGTCTTCCAAGGTGCCTCTAGGTGGGTTTGAACCACCAACCTTCCAGCTAGTAGTTGAGTGCTGAACTGTTTGTGCCACCCGGGGCCTGCTCACTGTGTTATTGTTATTGTTAGGTGCTATCAAGTCAGCTCCAACTCAAAGCGACCCTCTGTACAACAGAATGAAACACTGCCTGGTCCTGCACCATCCTCACAATTGTTCTGCTTGAGCCCATTGTTGCAGCCACTGTGTCAGTTCATCTCATTGAGGGTCTTTCTCTTTTTCGCTTGACCCTCTACTTTACCGAGCATGATGTCCTTCTCCAGGGTCTGGTCCTTGCTGATAACATGTCCAAAGTACGTGAGAAGAAGTCTCACCATCCTCGCTTCCAGGGAGCACTCTGGCTGTACTTTTCCAAGACAAGTTATAATCTACTCCCTCCACTATTTCTCCAATTTGAATCCAGAGAATCTTGCTATTCTTGGGTGTGACAGATTTTCACTCGTCTCCTTGGATTCTGCTGGGATCTCACTCTGGTTTTGGATCAGAGGCACTAAGAAGCGACAGGGCCGGGTCTTGAGGAGAACGAGCATCTCTTAGCAAGTGCCTGCTTCACATGTGGTCTTCAGGTGAGGGGAAGCTGACTTCCTCGGACAGGGAAGAGGGGCCGTTTCTGCTTGAAAGGGAGGCTTGGTGGGATTTTTTTTGGGGGGGGGTAGGGGGGTGGGAAGGCAGTCAAAGTCAATCCACTCAACTACATCCATTCCAGCTCTTCCCCAGTCCATGGTCTAACTTTCACATAAGTGAGCTGGCGAGGCTGAGAGCTCAGTTTATGTCACAATCCTATCACTTGCAGGATGGAACTTGGGGAACGATTTCCAGATACAGCAGTCCTGCTAAAAGAAATAAGATTTTCTTTATGGTAGTCCTACACGTTTTATGATTCTCTGACTTCACCTTGAGCTGAGAATTTAAAGCCCCTCGCTTGTCATTTTAAAAAACGTCATCTTTCCGGTGCAGTCAGAAATGCCCAGCCCACCCCACAATCCTCCTAGTCCTAATGTCCACCACAACATTGCTTTTCAGCTGCTTCTTAGTCTCCCAAGACCTTGCCTTCAAGAAATACTTCATTCCAGGCAATTCCAGAGATGTGCTCTGCCACAGCACGTCTTGACAGCTAGTGTCCTGTTTTCACGGATGGTGAAATCATCACCTCACATAACCAAGGTCGTAATTTCCTGGTGCTCCCATAACAAAAATGCCGAAGCCAGTGGCTCTAAAGAGCAGGAATTTATGGTCTCACAGTTTTGGAGGCTGAAGTCCAAATCAGGGCATTGGCTGTAGGGGCGGGTCCTTCCCTGTTAGTCGCCCTGGGTGTTCCTGGGTGTTCCTCGGCTTGTAGACACTCCTTACATGGTCTGTTTTCCCTTTTTATGAAACACCACTCAGAAAGGATTAGGGTTAGGACCCACCCTACTCCCGTATGATCACATTAACATAACAAAAGAAAAATCCTGTTTCCAAACAGGGTCACATTCAAAGTACAGGGGTTAAGACTGCAACATATCTTTTGGGGGACATAATTCAATCCATGGCAAGCAATTCTAGCTTTCTGTCTTTGAGGATCTGTTTCCTGGACTGACTTTGGTTCCAAATACTGTGTCACTTGGGTATCCTCAGGAACACAGGAAGCCTTCCAGGCATTTCAAGCAGGAAAGTATTTAATACAGGGAATTGAGTGCTTCAAAACCCTTGAAAAGTTGGCGGAAGGAAGGTCAGGGACGCCCCTGGGTTCCAGGCACCTGGTGAGCTTTCAGAGAGCCAGGAGTTTGCAGGGACAACAGGAGACTCTTGGCAATGGGCACTGCTGCTTCTGCACCAAGTGGGACACCCTCTGGAGGCCGCTGCAAAGCCTCCTGCCTGCCAAAGCCCTCAGGGGGCCTGCCGTGGCGGAGGAGCACCCTGCCCCCAAGAATTCACTTCTCTCCCACCCTTCAGATCGCAGGTGAGCACTTCTTATGGTGGAAACCAGCCTGGACCCCCCTCAGGGATCCCAGCCATGAGTACCAGGGAGCCAGCCGAGAAACACCATGGAGCTGAGCTGCCCACAGACGATCTGGTACAAGGAGTAGGAAGACCACAGGGAGTCGGGGAAGGTGCCAGCAAGGAGGTGGCATCTGGGGCAGCCCTTAAGTGATAAGCAGACACTGGAGGGGAGGATGGTGTGAAAAACATGCTCCTCGTGGGGAGCAGGCCTACAGACGGCTGTCAGCGTCCACTAGGTCCCTCTACCCAAGTGCCCCTTCTCAGCACTGGGAGGGGGGTGCTGGCGGCCCCCTTGAGGCGATCCCAGGCCAAGTGCACATTGGTCTTTGGGTGCAGGTGACAGAACCCGAAATTTAACCAGCTTAGGCGAAGGGGGAACCAACTGGCATGGTAACCAGTGTGGGAACCATCGTGGACTCTCTGTCCCTCGTCCCTACTTCTCTGCCCACATTGGCCTCCATCTCTCTGTCCCGCTTCCTCGGTGGGCCTGGAAAGCTTGGTCCCGTGGAAAGAGGGTGCTCACCTCGGGCCTCCATGCAAAACTCCCAGGGAAGGGCTCTGACTGCCCAGTGTGGACCAGCTTCCTTCCCTGGACCAATCAGCTGTAGCCATGGGGGTAAGGAACGATGATTGGCCTAGCTTGGGAGTCACAGCCACTCCTGAGCCAATCAGCAGTGGGATGGGGGCAGGGTCCCTTCTGTGTGACATGTGTGGGTGCTGATGAACCGTTTGGCCAGGGAACACAGGGGAGCATTGAACAGGATGGCAAACAAACTGTTACCATCGAGCAGAACTGTGATCCACAGGGTTTTCTTTTTCTTTCTTTTTATTGTTGTAAGAATATACAAACACAGCATTTGCCAGTTC